GTGTCTCGGGGCCAAAGGAAGAGTTCGGGCTCCCCATAGGGAGTTCGGGCTCTTAGTAGGGAGTTCGAGCTCTTAGTAGGGAGGTCAGGCTCCTTTTAGGGAGTTTGGGCCCCTTGTAGGGAGTTCGGGCTCCCCTTAGGGAGTTGGTCTCCTCGAGGGGAGTTCGGTCTACTGGTCTCTTCCCTTTGGTGTTTGCACCTTGGGTATGCTGCTTTAAGTGCCGAGCTACTTGTTTTTTGCCACGTGGCGTGATTGCGAGGTCGGGCCAAATCTTCCTTCATCACCATCCATGACATTGACGGCATGACGGGGAGATAACGCAGCAAAAAGATGATTAGAAAGCACCTCCACGCATGACTAATCAGTTTGTTGAACTTGAAWTGGATTCCACCCATTTAAAATCCGTGCCCCACTTTGCCATGGCACGAAGCCATGAATCTCACCTTAACACCAATGAAGTGGTTACGGATGGGCCAGTCAGTCAGGTTAAGGTACTCTCTGGCATGGCCTAACCTGAATTTRGGTCGGCCTGCCATGGCACGGCACGCGGACCGTGCCAAGCCTGGCACGATGGACTAAGCCGTGTTGGGCCTAGGGTTTCACAGGCTAGCATGATGAACTAGTCCTTGGGGGGTTTCCAATGGCTAGTTTTAGCTTTTTGAGGTTTTTTTTTTACAGAAATACCCCCCAATATCTATAAATAGTTGTATAGGTGGGGTATTTATGTATTTTGATTTTGGAGGGAGAAAGAATGACACAAATGCCCCTCATTAGGTAATATAACAGCTAGTTTGAATGAGTATTTTGGGTAAAGTGATAAATGACTTTACAATGACCAAAATAGCCCTTCCCAAAAACTAAAAAACAGCTAGTTTTTAAGGTATTTTAGGCAATTGAATTATTTTCAATTTCTATAAATAGTCYTATCCTCCACCATTCTCATTGCTCCAATTCAACAATTTTCTTAAAATATTCTCTAGTTCCCATACTCTCTCAAGTATCAGTCTCTCATACATTCTCTGATTCTCCAATTCTCAACTTTATTGAAGTTTCAACAAGAAGAAGGCTTGTTCAACAATTCAAGTATCTCAACTCTCAAGTTAGCAATTTGGGATGCTTGGACTCTTGGAGTTGAAAGGTTTCAACCATTAAAATCAAGTTGAGATTCCAAACCAGCAATCTGAGTAAGTGCAATTAAATTAATTTTTATTTTTTTAGAATTTAAAAAAATGGTTGACTCCTCCCAAAACCAATTCCCCAACATGTTCAATGTCAACAATATCCAGTTGCAGCATAGTAGTTTTAGCACCGATATGGATGCTATTGATATTGACGGAACTTCCACCTCTAGTACTGATACTAGGGGAAAGAAAAAGAAGGCCACTAAGTTGATTAGCCCAATTTAGAAAATATTTAAAATAGAGGAGGTTCAGGAGAAGGGAAAAAGAGTTGTTTGCCAAAGATGTAGGAAAGAGTTTAGCTATTGTATCAAGGGTGGTACTGGCCATTTGGGCAGACATTTGCTCACCCATGAGAAAGAAGAAGAAGAAGAAGAAGAAGAAGAAGAAGAAGAAGAAGAAGAAGAAGAAGGGAGAGAAACAACACAAACACAAATTGGGTGGGGTTTGGTACTTTTAAATATTCTCAAAAAAATGAGACAAGAATTAGCAAAATACATTGTACATGCTGAATAACCATTTTTGTTAGCTGAAGATACTAAACTGAAAATTGGTTACATAATTCTGTAAATCCACAATTTAAAAAAGTTTCTAGGAATACTATTAGATTAGATGCTTTAAAATTTTTTTATTCATATAAACAAAATTTAATTTATATGTTATCAAACTTTAATTCTAAAGTTGCAATTACTTCTGATATTTGTATTTCTAAATTTAACATAAGTTATATTTGTGTTACTAGTCATTTTATTGATGAAAACTGACATTTAAATAAAAGAATTTTAAGTTTTACTAGGCTTGAATGGCTACATACTAGCCTAGTTATTGCTACAAGTATTTAAATACTTTACATGCTTATGGAATTTACAATAAATTATTTTCTATTAGTTTTGACAGTGCTAGTAATAATGGTTCAGCAATAAATATTTTAAAATCTCAATTAAAACCATGTTTAAATAGTAAAATTTCATATCAGATGTGCATGTCACATCTTAAATTTATATATTTAGGATGCTTTAAATACTATTTCTACTCATATTTTTAATATTAGAAATTGTGTTATATATATTAAAAGTTCTGGAGCTAGAAAACAAGAATTTAAATATTTATGTCAAAATTATGGTTTGAAATATAAACATTGTATATTAGATGTTAAACATAGATAAAATTCTACTGCTATGTTAGAAGGTTGTATTTCTCACAAACAAATTCTTAGTGATTTTTATAATTGAAAAATGTCTATTGATATTATATTTGAGGAAGACTGGGATATGGCAATTTGTATAAAAGATTTTTTAAAACATTTTTATGATGCAACTAATGAATTATYAGGTATTTATTATCCAACTAGTTGTAATTTAGCTTATCAATTAATGATGATTAGTGATTGTTTTGCAAAATATAGAAAGAATCCACAATTTAAAAGTATTGTTGAAGTAATGAAAAATAAATTTAAAAAATATTGGGAGAACATTTCTCTTCTTTATTGCATAGCTATAATATTAGATCCTAGGATTAGGAAAGATGGTTTAGATATTTTACTTGAAACATATTGTGAAAATATAAATATTGAAATTGGAAATAAAAAAGAAGAAATTAATAATTTATTACTTGAAATGTATAGTTTATATGAATTTGAAGTAATAGGGAATAATAAAAAATTTACAATTTATACAGCTACATCTTCTACTTTTGAGCTTAAGTCCAATAGTGGAAGAGAAAAACATTTTTATTTAATAAGTAAGAGGAAGAAATCCACTACCTCGACAACAATCTCATTTACTAAACTTAATTTTTATTTACAAGCAAATTTTTCTACTTTAGGTGATTCTTCCTTCACCTTGGAGGGAACAAATAATTTTGATATTTTAGCTTAGTAGAGTGAAGATGCAAAATATTATCCAGTTCTCGTCGCCACGGCTTGTGATCTACTAACCCCTTCAGTGTCTATAGTTTCATTAGAGTCTTGTTTTAGTTAGGTACTAGGTTGTTAGACGACAAGAGAATCTATATGAATGATGAAAGTCTACAGATGTGCATCTACTTTAAAGATTGATTGAATGCTAAAGATAGATTATAAAACAAAGGAGGGCATGGCACTACACCTTATGTTTCACTAGAATCAGATGATCAAAGTCAAGAACAATAGGAAAAAATGATGAAATCAATATTTTTTGTATGCTCAATAGCTATATAACATTTTTCAAATTATTGTAAATTTTGTTTTAATTTTAATTAATTTTTTTAATAACATAATTTTTTATCTTCAATTTGTAACTATATTGTATTTTTATATTTTCTTAATTTATTTCATTTTCCAATTTTCATATTTCATTCATCCAACCATTGTATGATTTGTATCATTCAAATTTAAATGAAATAAAATTTCTATTTTTCTTCCAATTTGTTATTCACTTTGAGTCTTTGCCTCATTGACTTCTTATTTGATTAAGTTTTTTTTTTTCATTTCTTTGTTAAATTTCTTATTTTTATTCAAATAGTTCCCAAAGGAAAGTTAAATATTTAAATATTTTAGTTTTACTTAGCAAAGAAATAAAAAAAAAATCAAAATGTAAAAAAAAAAAAAACAGAATGGCCTGATTTAGCCCATGCCCAAGGCCCTGCCTATGGCCTAGCCCGACATGGCCCAAGCCCATGGCACGACCTGCAACCTGCCCCACCTAGGCCCACGACATRGCATGACACGGGCCCGCACTGGCTTGGGTCGTGGGCCATGTCAGGCCAACCCCCAAATTATCCCTGGGGAGGGTGGCATGGCCCGCACTTTGCGTAGGCTGCAAGCAGGCCCAACACGGTCCGCTTTACACCTCTATGCACTCTCTCTTCATATCACAATCAAGGTTCAAAATTTTAATATGTATCAATCGATAGTATCAGGGACTTCCCAATATATGCCCCTACAATGGGTGTTTTGGGGTTTAACCTGGTTCARGGGGTAAACAGGCCTTAAACTGACCCCTTTGAACCAGATTTAAAAAAAAAAAAAAAGTGAAATGAGCCTCGATATAGGCCGATACGCCTCTACCAACATATCAACCATATCGATAATTTGAACCTTGATCACAATTTACAACCTCCTGGTGTTTGGAATCAATACTGAAAAGTAACACATCTAAAGAGATCAGCTTCCATCAGAGCAAGCCCATGCTCACACCATCCCAACAGCCTCTTGCACCCTTGCGACGGGAATATCTCCCCATGAAATAAAACATGAGTGTGAAACTATTCCCAATGCAAGACAGTAAAGAATGTTTGAATGGGTATTGCCCTAATGAAAGCCAAACTCGCATCTAAAAAAACATTTTTTTTGAAAAATGCCTGATATTAAAGCCTATATAGCAGCAAATAGCACATGCCTATGCAGCACCATTTTCTGAGAAAATGCCTCTCAGGAAGCGGCATTAGTTTACCACCCCATGCAGGTGATGCTTTTTGTAAATACCATCCCAACTGGTCTCTTAGTTTTTGGCCAGGTCGCCAGGACCACACCAATAAGTGCTTATATGCATTTGGAAAATAAGCCCGAATACTTATTCGAGAAACATATTTTTAAGTACTTGTTTCTTTTCTGGCATGTCTTGACCCGCCATGTCATTTTGAAAATACCTGTCCCCTGTGCTTTTTCACCAAACACTCATGAGTGATTATTAGAATAAACACTTATTTTTCAAATAAGCACTCCCTGACTCCGCCGCCCGCCCATAAGACAAGATTATATCACTGACAAGTTGAGAAATTGATTGTTACCAACTTAACACCCCCTCAACAGTTCAATTGGTCTATCAGAAAAAGAAGAATAGCTAATTAACTCAAAACTGTATTAACATCACTGTAGGTGCATGCATGCTTGTGACGAGCATCTCATTGTCTGTTTCATAAGCATATGTACGTATATAATTAACCAGGCTTTTAGCAAGGAAAAATACTTGCTTACTTGCATTCTTGTACAATGCAGAGGTCCAAGCATTGATTCCTAGTTCGTGGAATACCAAGTAGGAGATTATTTACAGGCAATAGTTGCATGATAACATAGATAGCTAGCTACCTGAAAATTAGTAAAACTTCTGCTTAATTCCTCAGACGAGGGAGAAATTGATCGAGGTCCGATATCTTCAAAGCCAAATTACCATCTGAAACCATGCTTCAGTGCAACTAGTTTYCACCAAGACTAAGTTTTCCAATGTCTAACATCTGCCAACTACTGTCTGAGATTATTGCATCAATGGCAGATCCTGTGCGACGACACACAGTAGTCTTGCTCTTCAGATGATTTATGTAGCATACTTTCAATCTCTCAACTTCCTTCCTCAGAGTTTGATATTGACCTGCAATAAGGAAAAACATTGAACATGATAGGAAAAAGTTAACTTCATTTTATTTGTTCTACCACTAATTCACTAAAGGTGAAAGAGATAAAGTAGAAACGACTTCGAACAGCTACTAAATAAGATAAAAAAATATATATGCTGAAGTTTTCACCATTACCAAAATGGCCGCAATTTCAAATAATGAGCTGGCACACTAACGTGGTATTCAATTTGTGGTTCTAAAAGGTGGTAATAAAATGACGAGGCATTTTTTGAACCAGACAATAGAGGCTTTACTACTCATGGTTCATTTCTTGAACTATAACATGTGAGTATTGATTGCATTATTCATGTCCAGAGATAGTTTCAGCTCTTATTGAGATTGGAGCATTCTTGGCGTGTGACACACCATGTGTTATGTCATGTTTATATCAGCAAACCATGTATTCTGGGTTAAGAATGCAATAAATTGAAGAGTTTAGGAAGGGGATTTTACTGGTTTTGAAATCATGAGTTGCTGCTTCCAGAACCACCAACAATATAGCCAAATGCAAGAAAACAAGATTTCTCATTCTGGAACCAGCTGGAACACAAGCAAACCACAAACCCAACACACCCTAAGTGGTCCCAACTGAAGATGTATAATGCCTATAACTTCCAGTGTGTCGCATGTTATACAGATCAGGACCCACCAAAGAATGAGTCTCACCTGCAAAGGCCAAAAGAAAGTGCATGCATAGGAGATCATAATACCCTTTTTCACTTCTAAAATCCTACAAACTTTACAGTTAGAGAAATTTGGAATAGGCCATTCCACCATAAGTGAGGGCCTTTTGTTGGGCAGTCTTTCACCAAAAATTAGCACTTGTGAGATGTTGAAAAGGAAAAGATTTGGATGGTGTATATCCCCACACATTTTGTCTCTTCTGCAAAGCAAGCGGGTAGACCCTTACCACTTGCAAATCTCCTATTCTTTTGCTGCAGGCATTCCAGATTTGCTTCTTAGGCCTTCTTGAATACCAGTGGGTGTGCCCCCTTCAGATTTGAGCAGCATCTCCAACTCATCCTATCCTGTTGCTCTTCAAAAATAAGATTATGTGGAGAAGTGCTATGGGAAGCATGACAAAGAAAGATTGAGAAGCTCACTCGCTCATTGAAACCATCAAAAAAGTGATACAATGGGTCAAGACAGATCATTGCATTTGAAGATATTTTAAGAGGATGGCCATGGATTGCTTAATCCTCAATGAGAGATAGGATAATTTCTAGATGGTACACACCCACATCAAATGCAACTAAGCTTTTTTTTATGAATTGCGGTTAAGCTTAATTTTGATAGCTGCAGTAAAGGAATTCCAGGCTCTGATGGGAATAGAGAATGTTTTAGAAATTATTAATGGGAGTATCCTTGTTTTATTCTCATCCCAATTGGCCATGCAAATTCCACAAAAGTTGAGAATTGGCGAGGTCTCTTAATTTATGAAATTTGGCAGTGGAAGGGGATTCTAATGTTGTAATTTAAGCTCACAAAATAATGGACTGATTATGGCACCATGAGAGAGGTGAGAACACTGGAAAGGGGCCTAATAATCAGTTATAGTTGGATATACAGATGACAGATCAGCTAATGAATTGACTGATGCATTGGCAAACAAGGGTAGATAGAGAAAATTTATTTTGGGCTCAGCTGGGAAAAGAAATGTTACTTAAAATGTTAATACCAAGGATATAAAGAAATGAGGTTAGGTGGCATAGGTTGGCCTATTTTGGGGATGCTTGGCATCTATGTAACTGTTACTCATTCTTTTCTATAATCAAAGTACCTTTACCAATAAAAAATAACACAGGTTTGCTAATATATCCTTAATTCCTAATTAATCTTTCACATTTAATTTCAGCAGGTTGGAAAAATAACACTACTGCTTCCTCCCCACCCCACCTGCTATAGACTTCGCACCCATTGAAACAAGATTGGGACATTCTTTGAGTTATGTAAATAACTTCTATGGTTCTGGTCAGACTACCTTAATGGCTTAACCATGAGAAGATAATTTCTACCAGAAATGCCAAATCATGAATGATGTATAATGACTGGTTCTGTCCAACTCCCTTAAACACATTCCAAATGTAGAGCAGTATGGATCACATATTCCTGTCTGTCTTATCATTTTGAAGATAGCATATCATTAAAATTCTTTGCTCTGCTCAATAACATGCCAGAGCCTTTGATTTTTTTTATAAGAATGTAAGCTACTTCCTTTGTCCTTCACTGTCCAACCTTAATGAGCCTCAATCTTCAAATAGAAAGATTCTCAGGAACCACAAATTTTGGTAAAAATGATAAAAGACATACCATCCATGATCAACTTTTCCTTCTGAAGGATGGCTATTTTCTGCTCAAGTGTGGTGTTTTCCATGGATAAAATAGCATGCCTCTGAAGTAGAGAACCAACTCGAGCAGCCAAATCAGACTCCAAACACTGCAAAAACATGAATCTCAATTTAAAATTTCTTTGAGAGCTTGTAGAAGAAAATGAATTAAAAGAATGAAAAAATAATAATAATACTCTAGGAAATGAAGAAATACAACATTGAGACCAACTTTTTGAAATCCGGATTTTGGACAAGACCACCCAGATGAACCAGGTCCACCAAAATTGGACCATTTTTTAGTTTGATTAAAACTGGGAAAAACCAGGACTTTTAAGATGAATTGCTGGTTAGACAGGCAATTGAACACTTTCAGAACTGATGCCCAGTCCAGTTATCAAAGCACATTGCTTAAGGCTAAAAATTAAACATGTCAACTTGAACATTTAGTTCAATTAGTTCACATAATGCAGCTCCATCATGACATTGCAAGCCCAATTATCATAATGTGAATGGAGCACATGATCCACAATGGTTTCTTTGATATTTGTTACAAGAACTTCAGGATGGGTATGCTACTCTGACCTAGATGCACTACACACTTGGAGGGTAATTGGGAAAGTAATCAGCTAGCAGACTTTTCCAATCCGGCTTGTGATTCTAGATTAACACAGGTGCTCACTGACCACAACTCTTCCTAGAAAGGTTCAAAATGTCATCTTTCTGGCCAGTATGCATTTGGCTAATGTTCATTTGTTACTTTGTTTTGGGAAAGAATTCGGCTGTGTGATTCTGACTTATTTATTAGGTTGCATTTGTGAGTGCTTCTTCAACAGGCTTTTTGTGCTTTTCAAGTTGGAGAAGCCAAAAGCCAGTCAAAAGATCGCTTGGTGAAAAAGCCCATCTGAAAAAGGACAGTAAAAAACTCCATTTAGCTAGTATACGTTTGCAAGAAGCTATTTTGGAAAAAAAATGGTGACCAGCCAAACACTAAAAAAGCACTTTTTCAGAAAGTGGATTTTTCAGAAGCCCTTTCAGACCAAAAAGCACACCCAAATGTGGCCTTACTCTTGTAACTAGTTTCTTCAGAGGTAAGATGCCTGCCTCCCCCATCTAGGTTCTCATTTTGTTTATTGAATGTATTTTTTCAATGAATTGATGCAACAGAGAGCTGAATCTCCATCTAGCTTTTCATTTAAATTTATAAGATTTAAGATAGGCACCCCTACACTTAGAGTTGGAGTAAAGATGGACCCAAAATTTGAGAATAAGGATAATAGACTACCTGATTAGGATCATAAAATATTTTAGAACTGATTAAACTCCAACCCTGTAAAATCCATAAGGCTGTTTTTCAATTTGGGAGAATGGAGTTTATGATTGAATGGATACCAGAAAGACTAGCCCCTTCTCTACCAATAAGAGTTACAGCACATCACAAAGTACATTTTCTCCCTATGACTCACTTTTTTGGAGGCAAACAGAAGAGCAGAGAAATAAGTGGATTTCATAGTAGTTTAGCATCCCACTTTTCCATCTCTGCCCTAATYCACACACAGCTTAATTTGGCACATAAGGTTTCTGATCATTCTGTTGAAATCCCAGAATCTGGTTGTAAGTGAATTCTAGAATCAGGAAATTAAAAACTTTGATTATAGATTTCTATCTATAGAAACCAACTTAAATGCATCACATTCTTTTTCTATAGGTAAAATGAACCACATTCTTGATGCAACATATTTATGAAAAGAATCAAGATTGTATCCAAAAGCCCTTAGGGTCATAACACAACTACCAACCTAGTAAAATAATTTCTAATAGAGTTGATACCAGACTTTCATTCCCAAGTACCAGTCTCAGACACAAAATAGACATGGGTATGGGATATGTGTTGGATCTGCCGAATCTGTGTCTTTCCAGTGCCTAGTTTGAATCGGTTGTGAATGTATCCACTTAATAGGCCACATACCTAACATAAACTATTAACCGATTTTCTTAAAATAGACGTTGCAATTAAAGGATTAAACTGCTTAGTATGTGGAATGTGGATGCTCTGTATATTTGCCATTTTCCAGGGTTTTGATTATCATGTTACAAGTTCATTTATTTGCTTTGTTTTGTTATTGATACTTCACTTTTTGGATATGAAAAACAGAATATGTCTAAACTAAATATAGCTTAATTACACAATTGGAAAAGTTTTATCATCCAGTGTATGACGTGTTTGTATATTGACCGGCAGATTACTTTTTTGAGGTCAGACAGATCCAAGTCCAATATACATACCCACATCCAACACCTATACTCAAACTCCTGTAAATGCATGTAAGAGAATTTGGAACAGCCACACTCTTTTAATGTCCAAACACATAATGGGAAAAAAAAATCTAATGGTTAATCATCTTATCTGGCTATTTTAGGTAACAGGAAATGTTGTGAAATATAGAATGGAACATAAACTTGCAACCGCTATTTAACCAAAAAAAAAAAACAATTCCAATATTAAGATTTCATTTCTTCATTTCTCAAAAAAAAATAATAAAGTTGCAACGGCTCGGATTCCAAGCAGTCAAGAAACTCTTGGTACATAAATGTAACTGCTTTTAAATGTTTATAAATAGCATTTTTATTGGGTCATCATCATCATCCAAGCCTTATCCCAACTAATATGAGGTCAGCTACATGAATCCTGTTTTGCCATTCTGTTCTATTTAATGCCATATCCATTGTTAAATTATGTGTACTTAAATCATTTTCTTACTACTTCACCCATGTCCTTTTTGGTCCACCCCTATCTAGCCCCTTCAACTTGCAACAGATCAATTCTTCTTACAGGTGCTGTTGATGGTCTTCTACGCACATGACCAAACCATCTTAATCGACCTTCTCTCATTTTATCACCTATTGGAAGCTTGGAGCTACTCCTAGGTCCCTTCAAATGATTTCATTTCTGGTCCTATCCTTTCTAGTTTTTCCACTCATCCATCTTAGCAGTTAGCATATGCATTTCTTCCACACTCAGCATTTTTATTTCTATTTATACTTTTTTCAATGTTCTTTTTTTCCATTTTTCATGTTCACATCTTGGATAGTCTGTTACCAAAAAAAGCTTAGATGGTCAAATCATTCAAATATTGAACCCCCAGTCATGTTGGTTCCACCTCCACCTCCACCTCTAGATCGTTTAAGTGAGAAGATATCTTTTATGACACATCATTGGAAAGATCTCCACTCAAGTGCTTATCAAGTGCAAGCCTTTTTTCCCTGTTGACCTATAAGGCTACAAGTACAAGCCAATATTTCATCAGTATAATTCCATAAGACTAGTCTATCTTGTAATGGCTAACCTGAAGAAGATTAACAGTCCTTTCAAGTTCAGCAATATACTGAAGCTTTCGAACCCTTGATCGCTGTCCTGAGTGCCTGCAAAAAAGGTCAATAACTTCAACAACTGCTAAATACAATCTTGATTTTGTCAAAAGTCTTTATAGCATTGACGTAGATAACAATGTTTTAGAACTGCAGATAACTATTGGGCCATGGTTGAAACAAGACCTGAAATTTTCAGCCTGGTCCCAGCCCCATATGAGATTTAAAGCACAACTACATTGTTGTGCCAGCTGACTGAACTACATGAAAGGCTCAGCCACTCAGGTCAGACCTCTTACCCAAGCAGGCATACCTATCCAGCCAACTGACATGGTCGGCTATCAATCTTGAGTTCCAAAATGTTAAGTACAGGCATCAAAGTAGGTATTAAATAGAAAGAAGGTCATGTTAAAATTGTAGTTTCCAAATTTATATTCTAGAGTCCATCAAAACAAAGAAGAATATCAGTACGATGAGCAATAAGCCCCAATGACGTAGTTAGCTGGCTAGTTGGCACCCCTTCCTTCTAAGAGGCACAAGTTCAAACCCACAGAAAAGCAGGCAATCCACATTGCATGATCTAGTGGGGCCTGCATGGATCCGTGCTATCCTACCCCCACAACAATTTTGACAGCTATTTTACCTTTTACCGGGCTAGATGTCCTATAAAAAATCAAACTAAAGATTTAGAAACTAATCTAAATTGTCCAAACGGCATGCCAAATTCAATTGTTGATCTTGCCCATTGAATTACCATGCCAAAATTCAACCTTTTTATCATCATCATCCATGTCTTATCCTAATTGTATGGGACCGGCTACATGAATCCTGTTTTTCCAATCTGTTCTCAACAAATCTAATTAATGTTTTGCCATTTTGATATCTAAGACCTTATTTGGGCTGTCTAGATGACATGCCAAGATCTAGCCATTCATACGTCCCAACTCTTAGTGTAGATCCTTTGGCAGTACACAAACACCTAACTTTTGATCAAGATCACTTAAATGCAAACCTAACTCCCATATAATTTGCACGATTGTATGGTTGATCTAGACCTTCCAAATGGTGTGCCAACACCTAACTTTGTTTTCTCATGTGCATGTGTGACTATTCAAGGTTGAAGCCAATGGTTTTCCAATAATTGATATCAAAGCTCGTGGCTGCACATAATAGATGCATTTACAGCATACAAGAAAGCACATGTTAGACAATTAAAAACAATTCACGTACTACAGAGTTACTAGATGCCAATGCAGCATAAAATTGTTTTAAAAGTTATGCACATGAAAATTTGGGATGAAAATTGTTGAAAGACTTAATGCTTTGACAGGAAAGGATAGAGTTTAACGTGTCTAACCGTTTTGCTGCCTTTGTCTCAGAATGAAGCTCATTGTTCAAACCACAAGCACCTCCCTCCAAATAAGACTGAGCAGTTTCAGGAATGCAGAGATTCTTAGATGAATGCTGCAAAGGTGTTTGAGGAACATATTCTGATAGTGCTGAAACTATTGAGTCTTTTGAATGGGTTAGATTACTCCTGCACCGAGGAGAGTTAGGACCATATATACATGCAGCCTCCATACCAGTACCAGTTTCATCAGAGATGGTATTTTTAATGTCAGCATTGGAAGTTAGATTCAATGATGCAGGCGCCTCTAAAAGAGTTAACGAATCACTGGCTGACCGGCGATGAATGATCCCCTTCAAATTCGTGTCAGAATCACCTAACAGGTCATCAAGCCAAGAGGGTTGTTCTTCCAAGATGGAGCTCTGGGAATGAAACCGATGGTGGTGAAGGTACAGTTCACCATTTCCCTGTAGAGTTTGAGAGACAGTACCTTGGGTGCTGCAAGAACTAGCCCTGTTCTGAGGCGGGCACCGAGGGGGGAGGTGAGCCTGCCTTGACATTGTACACTAAATTACAATGTATAGATCACTACTTGTTTAAGTCAGCCATGGTTAAGCTTCCTGTTACTTCTTCTGTAATAGAAGTATCCGGCAGGTTCTATTAGTAGCTTACTCGGATGCTTCCGCCAGCATTTCAATGAAACTCATTTCTAGAAAACCTTTCCTTAACAAGTAAGAATTAATAAATGAAAAAACAAAACTAAGAATCTCCAGAAGAAACAAATGAAACCAGACAAAGTGAATTGAAACCAAGTACAATGAAGCCAATTAAAACAACCAGAGAAAATAAAAACCTCTGTTTTCAATAAAAGAAACCATGTAAAGTAAAGAAAACTCCAAATATAGCCGATATGATCGTATGAACTCAACAACTAAAAAGAAAATTACGGGAATAAAGTGCTCTAAAGAAATGAGCAGAACGACAAATGAAAAACGAAGACTTAACATAAGAGCTTTAGATTTTCTTCTACCATCAACACGACCCTAGAACACTAAAACAAGACAAGTTCACTCTCTTCTTCTTCCTCTTCTTCTTCATGAGTTCCGAAAAGGAACTTAAAATCAACCAAAACCGAAGAAAAAACGGCGAGAATCAACCACCCCAACTGCGGATTTCTGAGATAATGGTTAGAAAAGGAGATATAAAGCACATCCACCGTTCGCGGTCATTGAAACGGAAACAAAAACCAAAATGTAACAACCAGCAATTTTTTTTCAAAAAAAAAAGAAAAAGACAAAAATTTTATACCAACAAATCAAAATCAAAACAAAATACAACCCTGAAAGCGCTACAAGTACTAATACAAAAAAAGATCAGATATTTGGGGAGAAAAATCAAATTTTGTTGGTATTGTTAATATTTTCGCTTACCTTTTCTGTTTATATCTTTTGATTACCTTTTTCTGGATTGGAGGAGTAGAGACTAGAAAAAAAAAAAAAGGGAGGACAGAGGAGATATATTTAGATGGAGTAGAGGATAGAACAGAGAGCACGCCCTCCCACTCTGCTACTCAATTTGGTGTCGCTGGATGCCACTGGTATACTGAATGTAGTAAAGAAATAGTTAAAGAAAGAAAGGTTGTGGAGGGAGGTGGAGGGTGTACCGTGTACGCCATCTGTACGGGTTTGGCAGCTCGAAGCCCAATGTCCCCACCTTCCCTCACTTTTACGAATTTGTCCCCCTGCATTCTATGTTTTTCCTAATTTACCGAGTCCGAATCACCTTCCAGTCTTCCAACCCTCTACCAACACCGCACATCTCATACATGGCGGGCCTCAATTTCATAGTGAGATGTACGGTATTAGATGAAGTTGGGTTGGAAGAAGATCTCAACTCTAATCTACCTTCATTTTATTTCTTTATTTATAACGGATTAATTAAAACTTAAAAGTTTAAACTCCCCGTCACTTTTCTTTTAAACATACCCTCGCTTTTCAATACCTCCAAACATGATTTTCAAAACCGGACGGACCGGAAAAACTGGAAATCAGTCCAGTGATCGGTTCTATTTTCTTCAAAAATTAGATTTTTCATCAAAAACATTGATTTTGGTCAGCAAACCATTGCATCGAGCGGTTAATCATTCGAACCATTCAAACTGTTCAAATGATTTTGACCATTTTTTATTATTTTTATATTTTTGTTAAAACGGGCCAAACATTTGATTCAACAATCGAACCATTCGACCCAATAACTGGACCCCTGACCAATTCGATCACTGGGTCAGTTTTGAAACCATGCCTTCAAACATCCTTTTGGTGGAGAATCTCCATCTCCTTTGTATCTTAACGCTTTGGGGTATCAATTTTGCGGGAATAACAAGCACAAATGATTTTTTTAGTTTTTCTCACAAAAATAATTTTTTTAGCATAGAATTTTTTTCTCTCCTACTTTTGCTCTATTTTTTACTTGAATCTTTTTAATCAGCTCACTTTCCTTATAATCTTTTACTTAAATTTATTCGTAAATATCATTGTTCAAAATTAAAGGCCTTGTGACCATTATTGAGTTGTTGGGAGATGATGGAATTATTTTAGGAAATATTCATAACTAGTTTTCAATAAAATTTGAAGACTTACCAAAAGAAAAAAAAAATCATTGAGACTTCAAATGATCAAAAAATTTAACTTAGCATGGCAAAGTAGTAAATCAAAAAGTTTAACTAAGAAGTTGTTTATTATGTATATGCATAAAAGAGAATTGTTTTTTTCTTGGGCAGTTGACTATTACCTTTCAAGTAGTTGATTATTAAGTGACACTAGGCTAGATTATCACAACCAATCAACTATTGTCCCTTAGGTTGTGTTTGGTTTGAAGGAAAATAAGTAGGGAAAGGAAGGGAAAGGTAAGAAAACGTTTAGAAACCTTGTATAAGTTTCCTATCTTTCCTTGCCTTTCCCTACCTTTTCACTCAAACCAAACATACCATAATWGGTAATCAATTGTTAAGTGACACCCAATTCGGCTATCACAAGTTAGTTATTGGGGGTGCAGATTGGATTCCGATCCAATCTTATTTGGTCGAACTCAGATCACTCCCAGTCGGATCTTCGAATTGGATCGAATCATCGATCTGATAAAAAATCAGATCGGATTTAGAACACCCCTTATCAAATCCGATGTGTTATATATTTATAAATATATATATATATATAATACATATATATTATTTATTTATTTATAAATATATTATTTATATTGTATTTTTATAAATTTGTTATATTTTTTATTTTTTATAAAAAACATGTATATATATAATGAAAATAATTAAAAAAGAAAACAAGTTAGATCAAATCAGATCCGATAAAATTCAAATTCAGATCAAGTCCTATCAAATCGGATTAGGTCCGACATGAACAATGTTRGATCAGATTCAAAATCAGATCCATTTGCATCCCTATTAATTACCACCTCTTTAGTAGTCAATTGTTACATTCAGTCCAACCTTGGATCATTTAAGTAATCGATTTTTACTATTTGGGAATTGATACCTTAGAGTTCCAAACTTAGAATTTTTATGATTTTGTTTAGAATAAAATCTGAAAAAAAAGCCTTAAATCCTTTTCTAACTTAATCATTAACGTTGTGGTGTAATCAAGGTAAATCTTAATTAAGTCCATAATACTGATTCTTGCAAATTGATTACATCAAATCTTAATGAGTGTAATAACTTTTGAAAACTTCTAGAACTTGATATCTTATTCTTCTTGTCCATAGATTAAGCTTGCATTCATTGGATAGGTTTTAGTCCATATGAGGGAATAGTTMGTATAATTGCATACTTAAAAGTGCAAATGATGTGGAGATTTTCTCTTTAACTAAAATACCCCTATCTTTAAATTCGATCCCTATCCCCTATCTAATTTTAAGGGCATTTGGACAATCATTTTTTATCACATTGAATTTCCTCTCATTAAATATTATTTTCAAAGTATTAACCCCCATTTTCTCTCATTAAATCATATATTTAAGGTTTTTTTTCTTACCAATAAATTTTACTGATCTATTCTAAATTTAGTACTTTATAATATCATGTTTTTCATTTTTTAAATTAACCCAAGAATACAATTAATCTTCCACCTAGGCGGTCTATAAAAAACTAAAGCATCTAGGTCAAGCGGATCAACCTATTATGTCATAATTAAACAACAAAAAAATTTAAATAAAAATACATACAAAAGTTAGAAAAAATTAAGCACATCCATAATATTTTCTATTAATTGTATTAAAAAAATAACTGTGATGTACAAGACTTGTTTTTTATTGACAATAGAAATGAAATACAAAAATTAACCGACCCAAAAATGAAATTGTTTTATTTGGTAGTAAGCAAACAATTCAACCTTTTTAGGGAAAATTTGTTAGCAATTGATGTCATAATTAAATAATAAAAATTAAAATAAGATAATATAAAACATTACAAAAAATACAAAAAATTTATAGAAAAAACATTTGAACACATCTCTACTATTTTATATTAATCATACCAAAGAAAAATAAATGCTATAAATAAGATATGTTTTTATTAATGGTGGAAATGAAATATAAAATCTAAAAACAATCCAATATTGAAATTGCTTTTCTATTTGTTGGCAAGTCAATAATTCAACCTTTTAGGTCAAATGCAATGCTTGCAAACTCTGYCCAGACTGAACGGTTGGACAATGAAAATTGAGAACTGATAGCCTTTTCGGTCCCAATTAAATAGTGGTTTTGGTGACCAAGTTAATCAGTAAATTGAGAGTTTTCGAGAATTCAAGTACTGCAGTGGCACATTTTGAAGTTTGGATAGTAAAGTAAGACTAACCTCAAAGTACAACAATGAAGGGGAGCTTTAGATAATAACCCTAGACCAAATAATAAAATGGAAGAACTCCCACCAATGTGACTAGTATGTCCAGCTGATAAAGCATTGCCCAACAAATGCTAAACTTTGCATAGAGATCACTTCACAATATAGGGCTCGAAACCAAGTCTACAGAGAAACACTAGGGTATAGAAATACATGAGACAATGCCACCCGTAATATAGAACACAAAACACAGCCAAAAGACAAGGTGCAGTCCTCCATAACAGATCCATCAATATAATGCATGGATGCATTCATGCGGGGGATAGTATCAGAACAAATTGTTAACCAAGTGAAACAACATTCTGTTTATATATATATATATATATATATATAGTGAAGCACCATTCTTTTAACTAAAACCTGAGTCATTGTTGAACCGGGAGTTCTGAAATTGCACCACCTGCCTCAATCACCTGAACCCTACCTGTGAGCAACCTAGTTGTCAGATCCTCCACGGCTATCTTCACCACATCCCTCCTCATGCCAATGTCAGCAGCATATCGGCTGGCACAATAGACAACAACTGCAGTTGCCGTCATCCCATATACATTTGTAGTAATGAGGCGCAAGGGTGTTGATAGGACAGCTGCAAGAGGGCCACCGATGATAGATACAGCCTGGCCACTCTGGCCAATTGTTCCTTGATCAACAGCAAGCAGACCGGTCTTGCAGTAGATGGTGAAGTCCTCACAATTGTTCTTGAAAACGTTGTAGCATCCAAAGCCATTATTAAGCAAGTAAGTTGCACGATGGATCACAACGTCACTTGGGTCTGATCCTGCAAGGGTGCATGTTCCGCCCCGAGCTTTTGCGAGAAAATGAGCAGGATGGACATCATACTCGAACYGGTATAGGACTCCACCAGCAAGGAAACAACTAAGGCAAGAGGATACAACTCCATGTTCTTGTTGGTTACAGGTGGTGCAGGGGACTTGAGATTGGGATGGTCCAGAGCTTACTAGGAGGAGATCCAACACTGTCCCAGTTCCCACTTCTTGACCTCGTCCTCGGGTGAAATGTATGACCTTATCATCCCCAATGTAGATGCCTGTATTTGTCAGGGAGAACTAAATGAGAATGTTGACTAGCCAACATGTACTACAGAAAAAAGAGCATAATATTGTTTAATTAATGGCGTAAAGAACATAATATTGTTTAATGTGAAAATACAAATCCGATAATAGGGGACAGAATTCAACAGTTGGGAGGTAATTTGGCAGCTTCTAGAGAAGTTTTTTCTGTTTCTCTCTCTAGGAAACATAAAAGAAACCTTTTTCTACTTCCTGGGAATAAACAAACGAAGGACTCTTCCCAAGGGATGTTACTGAAAGTACTGAAAGCCACCCAGAAGTGTCACTGGGAACATAAAACTGACATGTTTTATGAWCCAGGAACCAGAATAAACAATATCTTGACCCATCTAAGCTAGAAGCATAGGACTTGTGAAACTCCAAAGCAGGATTCAGCTTTGAGTAGTGCTTAAGTGCCCATTTGGGAGGGCTGAAGTGCAGGCTTTTGGATTTCCAAGGTGGGTCCGCAAACAAACAACCTATACACCATATTTGGTGAAAAAGAAAAGCTTATCCAGAGTGCTTCAACCAGATGAACCAGCTTAGCTGAATATTAAGCTCAGCCCTCCCAAATGGACCCTGAATTGCACAAACCGCCTCAACCACCTGAACCCATTTGACTTAAACGTGTTGGGACGAGTATATCGAATTTAAGAAAGCTACTTTCCTTGTATCAAAAATTAAAAAGAAAAAAGAAAGCTACTTTCTGCTTCTAACTCAAGAGTCAGATAACTACAGTGTTAATGTATGATAAATAACTATTAAATGGAAATCTCAAATACAAAAATCTAACAAGAACACCAGAAGCAATACATTTGTAATTTGTTAAAACAGAAACTTATAAAATAAAAAGTTTGATAGTCTGAAACACAAAGCCAAGTTCACCCTACATTTGACGTGAAGACAGTTGGATAAAAGGAGCTTTTCAGTTTAACAATTTCAAAATTCAAATTAAAAATCCCTACAACTACAGTTGTAACTCTATTTTCCATTCCCAACTGTAGCTGTTTCTTTGTAATGCTCATTGCCAGCTGCAATCATATACCATAATTTAAAACATGACTGCAAATTATGAGCACAATATTTCAGCTTCTTATTGGAAAATAATCAAATCAACAGACTCTTGCCTCTTGACCATTAACACAATCCAAAGTAAATTCTCTTCTGAATGATCTACCTAACTTCAAAGAAACATATATTGTAGGGAGAAAAACATTTATAGAATACGATTTTTTCAAATGTACTCTTACTAAAAATTAATCCCTATTACTAAGATACCACAAGCATAGGCCCATACAAGATTTTAAAGAATACCCATTATCTAATGCCYGTTTCTATATATGCCACAATAGATGAAAATTGGCCCTGTTTCTAATGTTGAACACTCGAATATCTACCATGGTCATCAGAAAATAAGAATCTTGAAGAGCATTTTGAAGTTGGCCATGTTCCTAAGTTGAAAGAGAATAACAAATATGTGCTTGTTGATATGGTTGGCCTCCATTAGAGGTGGGTTACTACCTATGTTTCATCTTTATGGATGCTTCAGATTGGGCACTGGTAGACACATGTACATTGACAAAAACAAGACACTTGGGGAACTCTTTGTTACACCTGTAAGTCAGACTAAAGAACCTCAAATTGTTAGTGTTGTGTTGGTGCCTTGAATTCCATGTGCGATCTCAGTCCTTGACCCGGCCCAAACATAGTTGAGAAAAACCCGCAGCTCACCAGTGACCATCCCCTAGGGTGTGGGGGCAGAGTGCTGCGGTATGGACTTGTAGTAGAAGTGGAGATCGCCAGTTTCCAGTCTCACAATTAGGTGGATCTCACAGCATATCTGATCTCACGTCTCATCTGGAACTCGTGAGATTCCAAACTCACTAGTCTTCCAGACTCGTTGTAGCCCGATATCACAAGCTGATCTCGTAGCTGGGACTCGTTGACCTCGCTTGTGTGATCTCACRAGAGGAGCAGGATCAATTAGTTACAACTTGTAGGGACCATTCCAATTAGGGCTTATTCTCTATAAATAGCCTTGTATTCTTGCATGAAAAGTTATCTTGTGTCTTGGAATCCAAGAAAGAATACAAGAGAGTGTAAGAGATAAGGAAGGCTAAACTTTGGGTGTATTGGGAGTAGACCTGTTCACGGACCAAGCTTCAGGCTCAATTTTACACTGTGTTGGGCTCGGCTTCAGGCTGGGCCCGTTAGAATTTTGGCAAAAGCCAAGCCCAAGCCCGACCCATGAACAGGTCTAATTGGGAGCTTGGGCTTTGGTGAAAGGCCAAGAACATTGTAATTGTAAATCTCCATTGTTGGTAGTGGATTTATTCTCCTCTGATGCCCATGGATGTAGGCTATAAGCCAACCACATAAATCTTTGTGTGTGCTTTGTGTGCTCTGTTTTGCATTTGTCTTTCCATTTTTCTCTACTTTCCAATCATTTTATCATTCTTGGGTTTGTTAGTACCCACAACAAACTGGTATTAGAGTTTGAAGAAGGTAATTGGAATGCTCAATGGCATCTAGATTGGGTTTGCCAATTAAGTATGAAGTGGAGAAGTTTGATGGAATGATTCAACAGGGGTTACTCAAAGCACTGAAAGGGAAGGATGCTTTATCGATAACAATGCTTGAGGAGGAGGAGGATTAGCTGGAATGAGCACATAGTGCTATTCTGTTACTATTGTCTAATGAAGTAATGAGAGAAGTTGTAGATGAAGAAACGGCTACTGGAATATGTATGAAGATGAAGGTCATGTTGATTAAATAGGGGTTACTCAAAACACTGAAAGGGAAGGATGCTTTACCAACAACAATGTCTGAGGAGGAGGAGGATTTGCTGGAACGAGCACAAGTGCTATTTTGTTACTACTGTCTGATTAAGTAACGAGAGAAGTTGTAGATGAAGAAACAGCTACTGGACTATGGCTGAAACTTGAGTCAATCAATTGTCTCTGTATATTTTACTACTTCAGCATTTAATTTAAATGTCAGATCTGAATACAGCCAGCTTAAACCTTCCATCACTACTTTTCCCATGTATCTTTCTATCTCTATTAATCTAAGGAGCAATCACATGCATTCCCTTCTCCTTCCAACCCTTACCTTAATTTCTTTTATCCAAACCTTAAATTTCCTTCCAGCAACTTCTTTACATTTAAATTCTTATATCTAAACACAGGAACAGTGGAACACACCTGCATTAAGCCTAAATGGTATCAATTAGTAAAGAGGATCTGGGCCTCAGGAATTTGGCTTCTCATGGCTTAGATGGGTTCTTCCTCTATCTATAGGCATAGAACCCCTGGCGTGCTGGGCTTACTAGGATTCAAAAGCATGTGAACTACCCTCTGGAAGAGCTACTTCATGACCGTATACAGAACTCTCTCTCATTTTCTCTCCTCATATAGGAAAGGCAATGAGTGGCTGACCTAATCATGGGATTCTCTGTGGGTCAAATAGAATAGGCAAGATTACCAGACTAGACATCAAGTTGTACATGATCCATTTCCATGGTTTTTGCCCATTCAGAAGATTCTTCAAGTTCAAAGGCGGATATCAAGTTTCAATCATGACACCCATGTCAGAACAAAAAAAAATTAAGAAAACCACCTTAGTGATGAACATGATATATAAAGTATCAAATGCAAAATGCAGCCCCCTCATTCATGCCCATCTGTGCCAACATGACCATACATTCAAAACATATAAGCAAAGGCATGGCCTGGTCATATGGTTATGCAGTGCGTGGCATTATTCTGAATTCATAATTTCATGTTTTTGTTAATTGTATTTACACAAAGGCTATTTATTTAAAAAAAAAAAAAACTAATACATTCGAAAAACAGGTAAGCCTAACTTGAGCAACATCACAGGTAGAGGAAAAAAATTACAGAAGTATTCATCAAATAAGGCCAAAATAGCACGAACAATGCTGATGATCTGAGAATTTTCTCTAGTGTTGAGATTTGATCAAATAAGAAGGAAGTTATTTTGCAGGAGTCACAAAGGGTCCGGGTGTTTTCTCCCCAATAAAGATCTTGGGAAGATTAGTCATCAGGAGACTTAAAAGTTCAAGATTGTTGTAACAATGAAAACAACTGTATCACAAGCTCAACATCAATTCATTCATGAAATAATCATCTGGAAACCATTTTTGAACCTTAAGATGTTAAGTTCCCATCAAACTTTCTGAATGGCTACTGTGAAGTTGTGAACTAATCAGATGTTCTCTAAATAAATAAGACATCATTTCCACGTTATTAATCTCTTCTATCCTTCTTTCGAGTCGAGGTGCAATTGCACATTTTTAACCAGCTCTCTACCAAAAAGGGAAAAAATCGGAGCAAATAGAAATGAGAAAACGCGTTTTGCAGAAAATAGAAACCATTAAACCACAAACCCCATGAGATGATTACAATACAAAAGCCTCGAGTTCAAAAGAACAAAAACAAAGCAATATATATAAAACAAACTTTAGAAAGCGAAAGGGAGAACCGTGATGGGCGTAGACATAAGCGGTCCTCCATGAATAGATGTGATCCCCTGGTTTCAGGCTCTCTTTGTTAATCCTGATTCATTTGTCGGTATATTGATAAATATTCAAAAGAATAAGATACAAATAGATCAATAAATTGAATAATTTCCATCAAAATGAAAACAAAAAGTCGATCTCTTACCTGTTAGAGAGCAATCCCATGTCTTCTTCTTCTTCTCCCTCCCTCTCTCTCTCTCTCTCTCTCCTCCTTCTCTGGTTCGCTAGTCGGGCTCGTCCGGCGAAATCAGGGCCCAGCAAGGTAGCAACGAAAAGCAACTTGACTAAAGTTTTTTGATGCGTATAGATTCCGATTCCGATACACGCATCATCACCCGATAATTCGAACTCGCTAACGCGCTTACACGCCCAAAGCCAAATAGAGATTAGTTGGAATCGTCTACATTACAACCCGGAGCCGGAGGTGGTTGGAATTTGGAATGGAGATGTCATGTTACCCATTCTTATACAGTGGCCCACTAAATGGGCAGTTCGGCTGCTGCCAATCAAGAAACGCCATGTCAGCATAACGTAGGACAGTAAAGGATTTGGGCTGGAGATCACATCTCCGCCCTACAGCACATACCCGYCGTGTATTTAAAACATCTGCCGACGATGAGATCATTGAGAGTGGTATATCATCGGAACATGTTTCCGATACACCGCGAAAATGTGCTGTAGGGCGTTGTGGGGCGGCTCCTTTACTGTCCAATACACAGCGAGAGTGGTACTATCCGACTTTCGCGGGCGGTGCACAAGTAACAACGAACCGATCTCGGTGAGGTACCTTAATTTCGAAGTAGACCTGTTCATACGCCGGGTAGCCGTGACGAGCTTAAGCATCTATTTTAACTCACGTGCTTGACTTCGGGCCTAAAAGCCCGAGCCCGACTATTTTATGGGCCAGGTTTGGGATTTGTTAAAAAAACCCAATCCGAGCCCGGCCCGACCCAACTTTTGTATAAGTTAAACCCTAACCCTAAATATTAATTCATCTCTTCTCAACCCCTCTCTTATCACTCATCTCTTTTTCTTAGTCGAACAAACTCCCTTCTTAGTTACAGTCTCACATAGCCAAACATTCTCAGGAAGACAAAACCGGCGTAACCAATGAACTCCAGTGGTGACTGGCGAGTCCTTTCTCTTTGCCCTTTTGTTCTATTCCTCTCTTATTGTTTGATCGGCGGCGAACACAAACACAGACATAGGCACCGGCAACGAACACAGACACAAGCACCGATCTACCGTTTTGTTAGGTCGGGCTTCGGGCTTTTTATTAGGGTCTGGCTCGGGCCCAAGTTATAGGCCCATTGGTCAGGTCGGGCTCGGGCTCGAGCCTAACAAAATCTTGTTTATGAAGAGTAAAATCCCGGCCTGGCCCATGAACAGGTCTACTTCGAAGTAATCAGAGAATGACCAGTCATTATTCTGAGCTACTTTGTTGGACAGTTGGATAGTTGGACACTCAGTATGCATTGCCCTGGCCCGATATTTTCCCAGCTTGAAACGGCCCAACTCCAAGCCCAGAGTATATCAAATTCAAGTGTTAGTTGGACCCGAGTCAAAAAAATCAAGTTTGACTTGGGGTTCAGGCTTTGGGCCCAATTCTTAGCGTTGAGCCTAGCTTAAGTTTAAGCCGATTTAACCCACATGGATTAGTAATTATTAGGCCCCGTTTGGTTTGTAGGAATAGGGTCTGGAATGGGCTATTCTAATTCAAATTGTTTGATTGGGTGAAATCAGAATCCCTTTTCATTCCTACTGGAATGGCATTCTCCCATTTGAGGGAATCTCATTCCTACTGATTTTAATTTTCATTCTCATTTTTGTTTAAACCAAACAGACAATGAGAATAGACCATTTTGATTCTGATTCCAAAGGGTTTTGAGTCCAATTCCAATTCTGATTGCAGACCAAATGGTTCCTTAATTTTTAATGGTTTTCACTAATTAAAAATTATATAATTTTTAGTAATTATTTAAATTACTAAAAATTTAAGTTTTTACTAAAATTACATAAATTAAAAATCATAGTACATTTTCAATAAATTTCATAAATCTATACTATATATAAAAGTGTGGATGTAGAGTGGAAGTATTTTTTACTAAAATTACCCTTTATTTCTTTGTTTGAGAAAGGGTATAAAAGTCATTTTATTACAGCTTTAATGACAGCCTTAATGGCTAATGAAATGACCATATTTGTCTATTTAGTCCATTTCTAATTGTAAGGATTGAAAATGTAATTTCAATTATTACTTTCCACCTCATTTAATCCACTCTCATTAAGTCTTATACTTAAGTTATTAAACCTAATTTTCTCTTATGAAATCCTATATTTAAGTTATTTTTCACTAATAAATACTACTAATTAGATCTATGTCAATATTTTTAACAATATAAACCCATATATTTTAAAATTAACTAAAAAATAAAACCATTCTTTATCAAAGTGGTGGCTAAGAAATTCAATTATCTGAATCAAATTGATAAACATATGAAGTCATAGTTAGGTAATAAAATTTTTAAAATAGAAATAAGCATAGAAAATTACAAAAATGTAGAAAAAATTAAATACATTTATGACATTTTTATTAATCAAATTAAAAAATATGTACAATAAACAATAATTATTTTTATTGACAATGAAAATGGAATATATAATTTAGAACTGACCAAAAATGAAATTATTTTTATTATTTTGCAAAGATAAATAGTTCAATTTTTGAGTCAAATGTATAATATTTAATGTCATAAATAAATAATAAAAATATAATAAAATAAAAATACATAAATTTAGCAAAAACACATTGAGGCACATGTATAATATCATACAATTATCATATTAAACAAAAAGAATGTGTCACATATCAAAATTATTTTTACACACAGAAGTACAAAAAAATTATAGAAAATGAACACAACTATAATTCTGTATTTAAATTACTATTAAAAATATCAATAAGATTGTAAAACTTTCTTTTGATTAAAATACTCATTTTTGAATTTAGTCCCTATTTAATTGTAAGGTTCAAATTATAAATTGAACTACTATTTATAATTCCCTTTATTTAAATCTTACAATTCTTTGATAAATGAACAAAAAGAAGATACACCAAAAAGATAAAATATTACAAAAAGAAGAATCTAGCCAAGTAGGTATGCCCATCAATGATACTTGAAACTTCGCAACTCAATCTGATTATCACATATTTGGATGAGGTATTTATATAATTATATTTGGATTTTGCAATCTGCATCTGATTAATAATAAAATACAAAAAAATAAAAAATAAAAAATATATATTTATATAAATTTTTTGATACATTATTGCTCTAGTCACTCCCTTTTTCAACTTGAATTAATCAAATGAAGAGGGGAATTTCCTAAGCAAAACAAATGGAATAGCAAAATGGGAATATCAGTTTCTATTAGTTGAAGAGCTGCAACCTCCTCTCCTCCCCATTTAATGCTTTAAGTTTCACATAGCAACGGGCCATTCTCACTCTCAATACAATCCACATTGTACATCAGTAGTTGCTTCAGGGGCGGAGCCAGGGGGACCAAGGGGAGCCATGCCA